ACTACAAATGATTGCTGGGGAAACAAACAATCCCTCAGGTAGTAACACCCCGGCTTTAATTAACGCTATGATTATTTCTTTAGGCATTACTGCCTGGTAAATCCATGGCCTATAGCAACTCTTCATTAAAGCAACAAAGAGCTGTTTGGACCAAGTCGGCCTTTCAACAGGAAAACTGGATACTTGGAGTTTTGAGAGAGTTTGGAAACTGCTTAATCTATTTGGAGCAGGCGTTTTATAAGTTTTCAGTGTAATGAAAGAAGACATACGAGAAGTATTGAACTGGTCATGTCACTTTGAATCCAAGGGTTCTTATCACATAGTGTCGTTTGCCTGCAACGGGCTATCATTGTAACATGGTCTGCAATATGATCATTAATATATTAAGTCTATACTTACTTTCAGTATTAAAATTTTAGTTTACACGATTTTTCGAAAATGTGGTGTACGTCGCTTATTTATTCCTTTAGTCACAGATGAGGTGAAAATAATATAGTTAGGAAACTTTTACCTTTAATAAGTCTAACTTATTTTTTAATTACATTGGATCAATGTATTTTAATGACGTTGGGTTTGTTAGCTCGTTTTATACATGTACATCAGTCTAGGGTGTAATTTTATTCAATTCAATATTTAGGTAAAGAAAATTTTACAAATAATATCAATTTTACAATTATTTTTTTTAAAAACCTCCTGCGACCTGGCCGTGGGACGGGGGTTTACCGTCAAACGGCGGGGCCGGGGCTTTTCTTTTTTAGACTTCTTTTTTCTTTACTAGCCCCTAGCTAATCCCCTTTCCCCCCGCTTTTTGACCAGTTCCATTCCCCTTTTTTTTAAAAGTTTGATTGGGGGGGGGGGGGGGGGGACTTTACAGCAACAACAATAACAAAAATCACAGGGCACAGAGGAGTTATCTGTGACCTTGATTATTTATTGTAGTTACATTTTACAGTTGATACCTCGCATTGCCTTCGTTTTTATATTGTACAATCGAGCAAACCTTCATTTGATCGTCTTACAAACCTAGCAAAATATTATTCAATTCACTGGAAAACCGCTGAAGGTAATGACTTGGCCATTTTCCTCAGCTGATATCAAAACAGCATTTTTTTTCACTTTCAGAGAGAATTTGAAAATTGACTTCGTTTCAACTGACTTTCTGGGGGCCATTCAGTTTAGCGCTGAATGTTTGCTTTCGTACAATGTGGACCAGAGGATGCTAGTGAGGGAAATACGTCATCAGTTTCGAAAATGCAGAGAATGTGAGGGGGGTCGAAATATTAAGACACAGGACCGGCCTTCTTTGTAAAACTATATTATGAATTAAGCAAAACAACGTTTCCTTTAAAAGAAGACAAAATAATACACTTTGGCAGTTGTTTGTCAGGAACAAAATTTTATCTGTATAAAGCTCGGCCCAGGAACCTATCAGCTATTTCTCCTACCAGTACCAGCATTTTTATAATTAAATTGGGATAAATATTTCGCTTTATATTGGTATTTTTGTGTTAGGATTTCCTTTATCCTTTTACTGATTAAGTGAAGTGAAATGGATCCGAATGTGAAGCCACAGACCTTGGCTGAGACTTTTGACCAAGCCAACTCTAATTCTATCCGGGAGTATATGCCAGGGCTCTCATAACTTTGTTGACTTATCCTGTGTCAACATACATAGCTGAGCGTAGCTTCAGCGATATGAAGAGAATGCAAACTTTTTTACGAAGGATCATGACAGACGAGAGATTGAGCTCTCTTTCAGTTCTGCATATGAGCACAAGGACGTAGTTGATATTGATAGCATTATAACAGAGTTTGCCTGTCTGAAGGGTACACATCCCGCCCATTTCTTGCCACCTCCTTGATGGCGTCACTGTTTTACCCTTTTTTGCCGTAAACACTGTACCTTACCGATAACCCTAGAGATGGGTAAAATAAACAACTAATTACTGCATTTTTCTTCGTCTTTATTTACTTAGAATGTCCTGCAGAAAACGCAGAAGATGGAATTTGCGAGATCCTAAATTTAAACTTTTTCTGGGGGAGCATGCCACCAGACTCCTCCAGGTTTGGGGTGCCTTCGGCGCGCTAACTTTTCTTCCACTGCTACGCTGCTGACTACCGGTATCTTATAGCTTATGAAATCAATGCCCAAGGACGGAAGAAGAGATTTGGTCTAGTGGGGTTTAAAGGGGGGGGGGGGGGGGGGGGGGGGGGGGGGGAGAAGGGTCATTTTAAAAATTATAAAATACAACTGTTTACACCAAAGACACGGTTTTGAGTGTCAACACAATATTAAACAATTTAACTGTTATTGTTCAGAATAAACTGAACACCATTGTGTGCCCACGTCACATTTTGAAGTCAATATAATTGCTTATTCAGTTAAGACGTTTAAACGTCCACAAAAAGCCAGCAAAGCTTATCACTCTGTAACCTGACCAAACACCTGCTAGTGTGCAGAAGTCAGCGCTAACTGTGCCTTCAGATGGTCAGAAGATTAAAGACAATCGAAATTGCGCCATTTACTGAAAAAAGCAATTTCACTTGCACTAAATAATTATATTCAATGACGCGAATGACCATGACATTGATTTTCAGTGTGACCATCTTCACACCAAAATAAAATAAAAATAAGAACAGTGATATTTCTTAGAGTGTATAAAAACTGCAACTTTTGCTTCTCTACTGCTCTATCTTTTTATCACAGTCTTTGAACAGTTTTTGCTGTAAGCTAATGAAGAACTGTCTTTTAAATTTGCACGGAACCGTGACAAGGAAGTTATTTGTTAAAGTCTTGNCTGACCAAACACCTGCTAGTGTGCAGAAGTCAGCGCTAACTGTGCCTTCAGATGGTCAGAAGATTAAAGACAATCGAAATTGCGCCATTTACTGAAAAAAGCAATTTCACTTGCACTAAATAATTATATTCAATGACGCGAATGACCATGACATTGATTTTCAGTGTGACCATCTTCACACCAAAATAAAATAAAAATAAGAACAGTGATATTTCTTAGAGTGTATAAAAACTGCAACTTTTGCTTCTCTACTGCTCTATCTTTTTATCACAGTCTTTGAACAGTTTTTGCTGTAAGCTAATGAAGAACTGTCTTTTAAATTTGCACGGAACCGTGACAAGGAAGTTATTTGTTAAAGTCTTGAAATAGAAAACGCTAAAACCTTACTGAAAATTGTATCTAGTTCTCGTAAGCAAACGCAAAATTCACAGAAATAATTCATTTAAGACTTAATTATCTAATTCGGTCATTCTGAAAGGGGCATTGGAATATATAAAGAATTGCTAACTAAGATTAACAAAATACTTTAACGGAATTTTTACTATGCAAATCACAGTAAGAGATTCTATTGTTGACAATCAGGAGTCAATTTTAGTAAATTACTCGTAGAGTAAAGAAATTAAAATGTATTAGAAAGACAACAAACTTTTGCAAAATCGACAAAACGAATAAGCATTATTACTTTTGGATTTTAGCAAATAAGGAAGGGTAACGTTGCTAAGTAAACATTTATACAAAATTCCCCGCCGGGGAACAAAATATTTTGTTATGATATTCAAGCCCAACATATTATCCATCCTGTCTGCCTAAGCCAAATATGGGTATTTAAAATTCATCATTCTGGATTAAATGCAATCACTTTAGCAAAATTGAATAATATATATAGTGAGAAATATAATTATATTTTTCATGCAAATTTTCTAACATCCGCTGCTTAAGAAGCGAACCTATTGCCCAATTCTTTAAGTACCTGAGAATTTAATTTCAGACCATTGCAGCACTGATTCATAATCTTTTTTTCCGTGTTGTTTGAACCGTTCAAAATCTTTATTTTGTTAAAGAGGCTCAAGGAGGAAAATTGCTTTTGTTTTATCGTTTAAGCAAAGTTTGAGGAGGCGTTTGATGTTGTATAAGAATATAACTTGAAATGTATGGCATTAAAAGAAGTAAGAGTGTTCTCTGTACAAATTTGGTCAATCAGCGCGTATTTCACTCGTGTTGCATCAGTTAATAGCGGTTAAAACCGTTCCCGCCATATGTTCCTCTTAGCGGAACTGACTCATACGGGACATACATATATACATCCGTACTGAAGGAAAAAGTACCTATTTACGAAAAAGTTAGAAACATTACGAATAGGATTTCCTATCAAGTCGAGATGGTGACTTGAATAAAAAGGGCAGTCGCGAAATTTCAAAGTTCACTTGAATCTGAGGCGATCTTCTTCATAAAGAGAACAGGAGTGTCAAATTACAGAAACAGATATCAGTATCATGCTAGGTAAGAGACAAGCTGGTTTACTTATTACAATCTGTTCTTAGGACTTAATATTATTAATTTTTACGTGGCTGATTTTCACTGTTTCGGACAACTGTACTGCTGTAAACCGATGACACTTAATCTAATTTTTTATTGTGCTTGAGTGACGCCGTGCAGCTCAGAAATGCGAGCCTATTACGTATACGCTACACCGGTAATTTGCTTTTAAATTAAAGAATCGCATACAATTTTAGAGATCAAGAAAATTTAATTTAATTAATTTTTTAGTTATGCTGACTAGCAAAAAAATTGTTATCTACGAGGCTTAGAAAAAAAATTAATTAACCTCTCTCCTACGAAAAAGAAAAATTAATACTTAGAAGTGTTAACCATGGCCAACAGAAAATATTATGACAATCTTTACTTGAAAAAATTTACTTGCGAACCTTTGGACGAATTGACTTGAAGAAATAGAAAGTTTTTCCAAGGGACTAGAGGCAAACACTGAAACACTTGAATTTGCACATAGAGCGCGGTTTTTTTGTTTAACCTGTTTCTTGTGCCTTAGGGCAGGTGTTTGTTAACCGGACTCACTTCCTTCTCTAGAATTTTTTTTTTCACGATATTTGACCTTGGAAAGTCACAAATGCTTACTCTTTGACATTCTAAAAGAAAATTAACAATGATCTATTTACAGTTCATAATGTATTTCTTCCTTTTTCAGTTTCGGCTTTGCTGGTTATACTCCTTCCACGGTTTTCCCTTGAAGCTCCGGTGAACAAGCGGGAAGTGTCTGCGAGAACAAAAGATGTTTTACTATCAATGTATCATGTCTGCATCTCGAAAACAAAGTTAATGGATTTGACTCGAGAGACGAAAGAGGCCTATGTAAGTGTCCAAAAAAATATCTTTAAACTTTGCATTTGTTTACACGCATTTACCATTACATAATCGACCTTAAAGCGATAAATTTTACCAAACAGGATTCATCCACCGGTGTAATGTAATATTGATGTTAGAGTCGACCACATAAATGATGTCAAAATGTCTATAAAGTTTAATAACTCAAGTGGAACCACGAGTAGCAGGCGAGTTGTCACACGGCAAAGTTTTGAACATTTTGCATTACTAGACATTTTTTTCTCCCAACAGACCGTATTAAAGATCATTTGACCTAAGGAAACGACAGGATCTGGGAGCGAGTAGTCTAAGGTCTATGTCGTATTTCCTTATCCGGGACCTGACTCAACTTACCAACCGATCAGCTAAATTCTCGTTCAAGAACGCACGTTGAGTTTAGGCTGCGGTCTTACTGTCGTCGAAAGCAACAAGCAAACATAAAAACAAAATTCAAACGAAAACAATAGTTAATGAAATATTAAACATTTTGTTTCATTCTTGTTCTCGTTTAGGCGAAAGAACACTTTGGGGACCGTTTGGAGTCCAGACAGGTTGACATCAATGGAATTGAACCACTGAGCAACTATCAGGAAATGACAGTAAGTTTCTTTTAGTGATCCACTTGTTTTCAGTTATAATGTTTTTTAGTTGAAAATATGTTCCTCCTCATTTAATTTGTCACCGTACTTTTATATTGAGGTGACTCCTGATTCAGTGGGTGTATAAGGAATTATCGGAGTTATTAGCTCTTAGGCCCGGTTCAGACGCCGAACTTTTTATGAGCCGAACCTTATTTGAATTGAGGATTAGACCGGCTAAATTGATTCAGATGCCGATCTTAATTCCCGCCGAACTAAATTCAGAAGGCGAAAAACGTGCATTTCGGTCAAACTGCTTACACAATACGTTATAAGAATTGATTTATTAGGTTCGGTACATGAAAAGTTCGGCGTCTGAATCACAGACGTAAATTGAAACAGGCGTTCCTAATTGATTCAGACGCCGAACTTTTCATGTACTTAATTCAATGTATTAGGTTCGGCTCATGAAAAGTACGGTGCCTGAACCGGGCCTAAGAGGCAATAACGACCTCCCAAGTTTGAGCATTTACCTCAACGCCAGCATTAACACAGTATTTGTTAAAAAAAGGTCACCATTAAGATGAAGTTGCTGTTTGTCATAAAATTTAAAAACTATTGACGTCGAGTTTTCAAAGCAATGTTATTGCCTATTTGGTAATTACGATCATATTTCGTTTACCACCCCATTAATAGTATAATTTGAAAAAAATCATGGGGCCCTTTTTATCTTTATTAAGAGCTCAAGGGAATAGCTCAGTTTAGCCGATATCGAAAGGCAAAAGGCCCTTGCCTTTTGAATTTTCCTCCAGCACTAAGTACGGCATACAGTCTATTAAGTCCTTTTGAGTCCATCTTCTGAATTACTCTCACAAAATGTGTTCCTTATTACTTTCAGGTACGGCTGTTTGTTTCAAAAGTATTCAAACAACTCTCCATATTTCACGCGATCTTCGAAGACCTTTTGGGCCACTTGAATCAGATTAACGAGAAGCACAAGATCGTGAAGAAGATCGAGGCTATGAATAAAGAGATGAAAGAGCTGAAACGGCTGGCAAAAATCGCTGCGGTAAGTGATTCATTTACAATCATTTTAGCTTAATTTGACTGTTTGTCATTATTTATATGTTTCAAATTCGCTCAGTCTCTGACTTGCATCCTTCCAATCTTCCTCCGCACGCATTTTTATCTCGCTTCCCTTGTACGTAAATAAGGACCTTTAGATTCTAAGACGAAGACGACTACGAGTACGAGGTTTTCTCAATTCTGAGTAGTGCTTGCGCGTGAATCAGCGTCATCTTGGCGGGAAAACGCGGTGGCCTTTCTACTACGGTTTTAGCCAGAATGTCATGATTGCAAACACTATAATTTTTATCATTTTACGATGAAAAAAAGGGCTTAGTCCTGCTTTAATACAGATTACCGTGCTAATTTTTCTGGTGAATAACAGTACAATGAGGCATTCCGGGATATCTATTTTTTTTGAGAATACGTAAACTTTGTTAGGCTGAATCTCGTCCTGCAATCTAAGGGTGTCCAATAGAGCTAATCCCTATCAGAAGCGGAATCGCACTCAAAACCCATTGCGACTACCCTGTTAATACAAACACCACCTGTTAATTAGTATCTCTAGTCGATAACGTTCCCACATTTTTTGCCTAATTGATACGACAGACGGCAAATGACTTCTGGGAAAACCGAAATAATCCATTCATTATGTAGTAAAACCCTTTATTGATCGTTATGATTATTTCTTTAGATTTTCGAGTTTGGTAAATCCATGGCCTATAGCAACTCATCATCGGTAGCTACCTCATTGAAGCAACAAAGAGCTGTTTGGACCAAGTCTGCCTTTCGACAGAAAACCTGGATACTTGGAGTTTTAAGAGAGTTTGATATCTGCTTACGCTATCTGCAGCCGGCGTTTTTGGAGTTTTCAATGTGATAAAGGAAGACATACGAGGAGTATTGAAATGGTCATGTCACTTTGAATCTAAGGGTTCTTATTACATACTTCCGTTTGCCCGCAACAGGCTATCATTTTATACATGGTCGGGAATGAGAGTTAAAAGTTTAGTTTATACGGTTTTTCGAAAATGTGACGCACGTCGCTTATTTATTCAATTAGTCACAGATCAGGTTATAATAATATAACTAGGAAAATTTTCAGACCTTTAATAAGTTTAGGTTAGTAATTTATTACATTGCATCAATGTATTTTAACGACGTAGGGTTTGTTAGCTCGTTTTATACATGTACATCAGTCTAGG